ATATATATATATATATATATATATATATATATATATATAGATATATTATTATATTATATTATCATTGTGTAAGCTTATAATTGCGTGAATATATTACTTGTTGATTTATTCATTATTTATTATAGAAATGCAGGATGTCCGTGCACTGGTTGTCGGGTAACGAATCCTTCGTGTCATAAAATCGGACCCCCTTGTTCCATGACAACCGACTCGTCTTTGTTCATGCTAGCGTCATCGCCGAACGCTGCATGAGTGCATTAGAGAAAGCGAGGATATATATACATATAAACATGGTGTAAACATGTATATATATGCCAAACATGGTTGAAATAACGTCAGTAATCTTCGATGTAACGATATTATAATCCAATCATTGCATCTTCAAATTGAATCAACGAACATATTATGTCAACGTTGTTGCAACGCTGAAATGTCAAGCATCAACATCGTCATTATCATCATCATTATCATCATCATCATCATCATCATCATCATCATCATNAGTAGGCTAAACTTGTCCTTATGTACTTTCAACTTCTTGGCGACGGTTCGCCTGAGTCCCTCGACGTTCTCCGACTGATGCAGGCTCAGTTGGAACTGGCCGCCGGTGGTGGGTAGTACGGTGACGGTGATCATGTTGCTAGTGTCCGGCACCTGGCCACCGGTCGTCGTACTGCACGTGCATGACTCCGACTTCAACTCACAGTTCGTCTGCGTCGACTTGGCTGCCGTGATGTTCGATTCCATCTCTCTCTCTCTCTCTCTTTCACTTTCTCTCTCTCTCTCTTTTTCAAATGAAAACTCACCTTTCTCTCTCGTCTCTCTCTCTCTCTCTCTTCTCTCTCTCACTCACTCACTTTCTCACGTGCGCGCACGAGAGAGCGATCTAGCGTCTGCGAAGACACGCACGGCGCGGGATCGAGCCAGCCAATGAAGAAGCCGCAGGTATGTAGTCAGTCCAGCGACTGACGCTTGCCTAGGAGCAGCGCGTCCCTACGTCCGTCTCGCGTTGTTTGACAGCTGCGAGTGCGTGCGGGGGACGTCCGTTAGGTCCCGCTGCTTGGGTTCGTCCGGGGAGGAGCGCTGCGCTGCACGCCTTATATGAGTATACACGGCAAGCCTCCTACACAAAGCCGGCCCGTATACATGTGCGTATATATATATATACGTGTGTGTGCGTGTGCGTATGTGTGTGTAAACACGTAACCGCGCTACCTACACGCTGAACTGACTGCCGCTGACGGCTACAACTGTGAGCGGACGCCGCTGCGAACTGCTCGTGAAATAGGCAGGCGCGTACGCTGGCATACGCCAGCCAGCCAATCGGGGCACGGCAGACGACCGCCGCGAGCCCGGCAGCCCGCCGGGGTTATGTATCGTCTGCTGAAATACAGCGCGCGCGCATGACGACGGCGTGCGTGCACGAGCGCTGAACTTTGAACGCGACCAGTTCTCGAGAGCGGAGCTGCCGTGCCGCGTGCATGCGCGACGGCGTGACATTTAAATCCTACAGCTCGCGTGATTTCACGAACGGAATGTCGGAGCTGACCGCCCGTCGATGAGAGGGCGGCTTGCAAAGAAAACTCGAGAGGTAGCGAGAGAGGGGGAGAGATAGAGAGAGCGAGGAGACAATGAAAGAGAGAGAGGGAGAGCGAGAGAGGAGAGAGAGAGAGAGAGAGAAAAAGAGAGAGAAAGAGAGAGCGAGAGATGGGGGGGGGGGGGACAGAGAGAGCGAAAGAGAGAGAGAGAGAACGAGAGATAGAGAAAGAAAGAGAGAGAGGGGGGAGGTAAACCGTATGGGAAATTCCTATTAAGCAATGCAACCATGTAATGAGTAAATAATGGAATATATGAGTGTTTCCCTGTTTAAACGTACTAGGCTAGACGTCGCATTCTGAGAAACGGGTGTGGGCCACTCACTAGATCCTTTATATCTGCCACGTTGGCAACTTCCTGCATGTACTCACGCGACTATGATGAAAGCTTAGGCTTAATACTGTTATACCTAAGCTCGATATCTGTGAGAGAAACGATCAAGGAAGGAATCCACAGAATCAATTTGTACCCCGTTGCTTGAGTAATGCGTCCTGCAGCGCACCCGAATAAGATTACTTTTATAGACGTTCTTCGTCTTTCCTAATCACTTGCAGCAACGATCTGTCGCTAACCTGACCAACTAGCGAGCTATTTTAAACCTTCATGTGAGGGGGGGGGGGTCGTTAGTGATGCTGGTAATGACTATTTCAAAATTCGCAGGAATTGCGAGCGCCATTCACGTGTTGTGATCCATATAGAATGACGTTGGAGTAGGAACATTTCTGGTAGGGGTTTACGCACGCACAGACGTACGTACGTATACGCACGTACACACCAGCATACGCACGCACGCACGCACGCACACACCAGCGTACGCAGGTACACACGCACGCGAACAGACACGCATGCACGCACGCACGCACGCACGCATATATATATGTATATATATATATATGTATAGAATATATAAATATATGATGACGTCATGTGTACGGGGAGGGACACTCAATCAATACAGAGAAACGACAGACGCGCTGAAAGGTTACGCGATGGATTCAACTGGCCTCTAGATGGAAGCATACAGCTCTCTAAATGATTACATAGGCGAGATTAAATGTTGTCATCATATACTCTTCGCATCTTTGCGCCCGCTCCTTATGTGATATTACCGCATATCTGGATCTCTGGCGCATATTCCAAGACCGAGAACAAAGAAGGTGGACCACGGCGTTGACCCCCGAGCGACCTCATCATAAGACATGAATTCATAATACGCGGAACCTATGCGATAACCACGAATCTGTGCGTGCTGTGAAACTGATCGCATAACATTCGATACTGCGAAGAGAGAAGAGGTGGTGGTGGGATGGACACGGTGATGTGCGTGAACGCGAGAGCGCATGCGCTGCACGCGGGTTCGGCGCACCCCGTGCGCATGGAAGGGTGTTCTGTGGGTGGGGTTTAGAGCCGCTCTGCACAGCGTGTGTATGTTCGTGCGTGAACAGCTCACAGCAGCAAGGGGGCACGTTTAGCCGTACGTGTCACTATCCGCACGTCCTGTCAGCCGCTCCGCGACGAGATCCCAAAAAATCACGAATGCACATCGACACCCTAACACATCATGCGGAGAGTCTCAACCACCCTCCCCCCTCCCAACACGCGCACACACACACACACACGCAC